CTTACCAAGGAGCATAGGTGGGCATGGAACCTTGCAAGTACACCAGGCAGTTGAAGAAAAAAAAAGGGCATTGGAAGAATATCTGAAGGACAGTGAAAAAGATGCACTGAAGCTAGTACACCATGAAGGCTTACTGAATACCAAAGAGACCAAACTGGCCTATAAGAAAGACCAAATGAGGAATAGAAAAGAGACACGGCAAGGCAAAGTATTACATGGCCAGTAAATAAAAAAAAAAAAAACTAGGAGGCAAAGCAGAAAACAACAAGACCTGGCAATGGCTAAGAGCAGGAAAGTTGAAGAAAGAAACAGAGGGACTAATTCTGGCTGCACAAGACCAAGCCTGAAGAACAAATGCATGTGAAGCCAGAATCAAGAAGAGTGCAATAGACAGCAAATGCTGCCTCTGCAAAGAAGATGAAGAAACAGTGGACCACCTAGTCAGCTGCTGCAAGAAGATTGCACAGACTGACTACAAAAAAAAGGCATGACAAAGTAGCAACAATGGTGCATTGGAATATCTGCAAGAGATACCATTTGCCTGCAAACAAGAACCGGTGGGACCACAAAACAGACAAAGTAATAGAAAATGAAGAAGCTAACATGCTCTGGGACTTTAGAATTCAAATAGACAAGTACCTGCCACATAACACCCCAGACTTTATAATTGTTGATAAGAAAGAAAAAAAAGTCTGGATAATGGACATTGCAATACTTGGAAACAGCAGAATAGAAGAGAAAGAGCTGGAGAAAATCACAAAATACAAAGACCTGCAACAGAAATAGAATGACTGTGACAAAAGAAAGCAAAGATAGAACCAATAGTAATAGGTGCCTTGGGCACAATCCCAAAACATCTGGAGCACTACTTGAAGACCATTGGCATTGACAAAATCACCACCAGCCAATTGCAAAAGGCAGCTTTACTTGGAACAGCTTATATCCTGTGACGATACCTTTCACACCATCAAACAATAACATCTGCCTATCCCAGGTCCTTGGGAAGGACTCCATAGGTGGATAAAAATGCCAAATTCAGTGTAAACAACTGGCTGACTGTGTGATCACCACCACCACCACCACCTACTGTACTACCACTACTACTTTTTGTAAAACTCCAAAGGAACCGAATCTTTCTAAAGCTCTGACTGGAGAGATTACCATTAATATTTCAGGCCTCTTCTCATATTTTTCAAGGTACCCTTTACATAGTACCTGAGCCAAATCAGAGCAGCCAGACAACTGCTTTATTTGAAAAGCTGGAAGTCTTCTGCCCCACTCAATTGAATCACAAGACCATTCTGAGCAGTGCACACACAGATACAAACATACAGATAGTCTTCACTTAACAACCATTTCTTTAGCGACCGTTCAAAGTTACAACAGTGCTGAACAAAGGGATTTACAACCAGTCCTTGCACTTAACAACCATCACAGCACCCCCATGGTCACGTGATTGTGATCCAGGTGCTTGGCAACCACCTCACACTTATAACGGGTGCAGTGTCCCAGGGTCACATGATCACCATTTGTGACCTTCCCAGCTGGCTTCCAGCAAGCAAAATCACGTTATTTTGCTTAATGACTGCATGATTCGCTTAATGGCTATGGTGATTTGCTTAATGACCGCTGTAAAAGAGGTCATAAAATCAGGTGCAATTCGCTTAACCACCACTTCACTTAATAACAAATTTTCCGGTCCCTCTTGTGGTTGTTAAATGAGGACTACCTGTATTCAGCAAGAAAGAGTATGTGTTTAGCTGACTTACTGATTAATGTTTGCTATCGTGTCCATCCAGCTGCGAATGCGCACCTTATTGCGAACATTTGGAGGGTTACTAAATTCATGAATAACACAGATATGATATGGGTAAGGACCACTAAATATTTTTTGTTCAAGAGTCAGCGTGTCAACCTGTAGAAAAGGGCACAACATGCTTGTAACAACAGAAAACAGCAAAATACATTTCTGCAGTGTCTTATCAGCCCTAGTTTGCTATCAATGCATTATACTTCTCTCTTTAGTGAAAGAAATGAGAAGCAAAATGATAGGAACACAATAGACAATTTAAGACTCTCTAAGTCTTCACACGTTAAAAAAACAAGGAAAAAAGCCAGTTTTTAAAAATCTTTCATTCTTTTTCTTCCATTCTTTCATAGAATATTTGGTAAATTAAAAGCATACCACATTCATTGTATTCAGATACTGTAGTATATTTTAGTTAGTTGATTTTTGCATATCTTTCAGTACTGATTCTCATTTTGTATCAGTGATGTAACTAGTGAAATTTTTAGAATCTGTAGTAAACATTTATAGGGTAGTTTTTCTATTTTGTGAGTTGCCATGTCAACATGGCATTCACTGAAAGCCAGGAAAACTGTCATTAGCTAGAGCACATAGAAAATGTAGAACATTCAACGTGTGTAGTACTTTACTAGCTGAGCTACTATCCTGTCAACAATGACAGTGAATAATTTCCAAAGACACAAAAATGATAAAGAAATTAATCTCATTGTAATGCCATCCTAGAAAAATCCGGAGTAAACTGTATGTGTTAGGATGAGAAGTATTATTAATTTAGGGCCTCTATGTGCAAACAACACTATGCTTTCCACTCCATTTAATATTAGTTGAACAGCTACTGAAAATTTTCCTGAGGGAACAGAATGCTTATAGACGTTTATGCTCAGTTTTATTCCAAGAATGCCAAGCATGTAACATATTCTAAAGAAGAGTGCAACAAACATCAAGATGAATAAAAACTCAATTAAAATATGCCTTTAAGATAAATTTATACTAGTAGTTTTCATGCTAAAAAGAAAAAAAAAGGCAGAGCATAGGAAAATACACAAACTCTCTTGTTTAAATAAAAGCTTGCTGAATACCTGCTGCATTGGACGAAGGTAAATAATCCGGTTTCTCTCAGGAGGCATCCGGAGTATCTGATCTAGGACCTGATCCATATTTAATTTCTTGCACTGAGCATAGTCAAACCGATTGACAATGGGTGCATTCTCTACTTTTAAGTGCTTAAGAACCCGGCACCTGGTGGCTAAAAAGGAAAACCAACCAAGTATAAAAACGTGATGCATGCAAGTTTAGTCATTGAATATTATAGCAGTGGAGGAACAATGCAAAAACTGACCTCAGATTGCGAATTTCATCTTTTATGAAACATGTTAGCATGGACTGTTGACTTAGTTTGCATGACCTTGGTTTGAAAGGGCAAAATTGGGAGTCATCAAGTTGGAAGAGTCATTTAAGCCAAGGCAAGTGTAAGAATGTTTTGAATCTTAATATGTCATGAGCCTGTTTTGTTTATTTATCTAGGGATAGAGGTAACAGGTGACACTAACTGCCTTTATTCCATCATGGTGGAACCAATTATCCAGAGAAGCAGTAGATGCCCCTTCATGGGATGTTTATATATGTGTGTGTGTGCATGCGTGCGTGTGTATGGTTTTATAGTTTTTATCTATAATGCTGCCTAGAATCACTTGTATAGTGAGATGGGCAGTATATATAAATTTGAAAAATAAAGAAATAAATGTGTTCAAGCAGGTGGATGAATTTGGACTTTTGCACTAAGGAGACTGAATGTAATGACCTAAATGATCCCTTCCTACTCTATGATTCTATATTTTATTACTGAACTGTTGATTTCCTCCAAGACATTATGTTTATAGGAGTGAGAAACCATATTCATTTATTTTATTTATTTAAAAGACTTGTATAGTTAGCTTGTTAAGATGAAGAATCCATTAGTTCTGCTAAATTTTCAAGAACATTTCTCAAGCTTCAACGAACAAAATGTACATACCGTGAATGAACATCATTTTAGGGCAGTCTTTCAGCACCAGGTCTGTTATGCCGCAGTTAGTCAAGGTGATTCCAACAAGGTTTTTTGATTTTAGTGTCAAAACCTAGAGAATTTATTTTTAGAATTAAAGACTACTACAAGGATCATGCCAAATCATTAATCAGTCAAACACCTAATGTTGTGTGAGAAAATATGGGGAGCACTGAAAACGGGAATCTGTATCTGAAATTCTCTTCTCTTAGAACATCTTTCTCCTTCTCTCCTGGTATCTGCAACATTCTTAACAGTGTGTAAAACACTGGCTACCTCTGGCTGATACTGAAGTATAAATTATATGCAAACAATTTAGCAAGAAAATATATTTAGAAAAGACAAGTTTCAATCATCTTGAAAGTGACTGATTGTCCATAAATCTGGCCCAAGGTACTCACCTGGATGTGGTCATCCTCAATCACAGGATCACTGGTGCTTGTGGACTTGTCAGCTGTCCGTTTTCTCTTCACTGAATGTCGAGATTTTGGTTTGGCTGCTTCTGAGAAGACAAAATAAAATAAATAAATAAATGATCAGATATAATTGCGATAGTTTTAAAAATACTCACAGTAACAACATATCCTGAAGATTTTCTTAGAAACTGCTAGACAGAATTAAGATTCTAAAATTGACTTCAGAATGGCGAACAGTGGCCAGTCAATGTGACAAAAACATAAGAACTGATTTTTTTGGAATGTTTTTTCAACATTTCAGTCTAGGTCACAACCCCAGGTTATCCTAATAGTACTTGGAGGAGAGACTAACCAGACCTGACCCTGCTTAAATTTTTCAAGATCAGCAAGGTCTGATAGGTGATGCCACCAACTGTGACTCCACCTTAAGAGGAACTAAGTAGTATTAAATTTCTAGTTTTGTATAATCTAAGTACAGCAAGGATGAGGAATATATGACTCTTTAGATGTTACTGAACTACAATTCCAGCATCACTAAACATTGGACATAATTATTTTAAAATAGGTCTATCACTGAAAATATTTGAAAAACACAAAGGCTGTTAAAAGATGACAAAAATAATAGGCTGAAGTTTTACCAAAATCCATTCAGTCTATTGAAGAAAACAGGAAAAGTTCTACATAGTATTTTCCATACATATTATGACTTGCACAAATGGGATTAGATGTGCACTGAACAGTTAAATAAAATGATATGATTCCAGGCGTAAGGTAGGTAATGCAGACTTCTCATAACGGAATATTTAAATCTGTTCATGGATTAGAGAATATGAAACTGCCATATCAGACCACAGATAACAGAAGGAATACAGCATCACTAATAATTAACAAATATTTACTTCACAATAGAGTGATAATTAGCAGCCAAAGGTGTTGGAAATAGCACTTCCCAAGAGATTTTAGTAACTTTTTTTATGCATATGGCATAAATGTTATTTTACTGTCTGTATTTTGCAATGAAGCAAAGATGTGAGGATGACAATCAGTGTAGAAGAAGTATTTGAGTACTGTACCACATAAAAACAATGATGGAGCCATTCAGAATTCCTACTCTCATTAAAATTAAGAAATACTCTTACTCTGGATAATGAGTAAGCACATAAGAGAGATGAAACATGCAAGAATTACATTTAGGCATTTATTTCCTTGAGCATATATTTTAAATTGAAGAACTTGGCTACAGAACATGGTTAACAATATTTCTCATGTGCCAATACTATTTCTTCGTTCATCTTATTGGAAGGTGTTTAACATTGTTAAAATTCTCAGGCAACTTACAGTACAAATTCTGTGGGAGTCATATTAAAGTAGTCAGAGAATAACATTGAAAGAACTATACTGAGTGAAAAACAAAACGCATACAACTACAATGTACAGGTAGTCCTTAGTTAATTACCACAATCAGGACTGGAATTTTGGTTGCTAAAGCAATGCAGTCATAAAGTGAGATGTCACATGACTGCACTGCTTAGCAACTGCATTCCTGTTTCTCCCCATTATGGTCGTTAATAGAGAATCACGGGTCGTTAAACAAGTACCTATCCCAATCCAAGCCATTCCGAGCTTGGTCCTTCCCAGCCCCGAGCCAACTTCCCCCACCTGCCTATCTCCCCTCCCAATCTATGCCTTTTGGGCCACCCTGCACCCTGCCTTGCAGGGCGGTGAGCCTCAGCAAGCAGCAGCATTTGCTTGCGTGCCAGCATTCATTCACTCCCCGCAAGCGGCAGCATTCACTTGTACCCCACAATCAATTCACTCCCCAGCTGCCTAATTTCCCAGTTCCCCACTCCAACCTTTCTCCTTCTGGGCCCAACCACTGCAGCTGAAGCAGAAGCGCCTGACTCCCTTTGCCATCTTCTTTTTCAGACTCAGGTTCTCTGGTGAACATGTGACTCCCTGAGCCTGCCAATTCAGTAGCATTGTTTTTGTTCACCAGAGAAGCTGGGTTTATGCTTTAGGACTGACTGAGGTTTTGAATCTAAGTCTTCTTCTTTGGTTTTATCCCATTTGGGAAGAAATGTTTTAAAAAGGCAATGCTACTAAATTGGAAGAGTCGTGGTGGCACAGCAGCTTAATGACGCTGAAAGTTGCCGGCCAGAAATCGTCGACACTTCAGCAGTTCGAGCTCCGTGCAGCAGAGTGAGCTCCTGCTTCCTCCCCAGCTCCTGCCAACCCAGCAGCTCGAAAACTCCCATGAGTAGATAAATGGGTACTCTCACCCTGGTGGGAGGAAAAATGCTGGCGGTGCTTGCACAGGAGACGGGAGCAGCTGCCGGTAACGCGGAAGCCACGTGTACCCGAAAAAGGCACGAAGCAACAGAAACCTCGCCTCCTGCGCTCGCCAGCTAGGCTCCGCTCTAGGAAGGAGGCACTGGCAAACCACTTCCGAAACACCTTGCCTTGAAAACTGCAGGGACTTGTCCAGCCAGTCGCCGCAGAATCGGTCACGATTGAGTGCAGATAAAAAAAAAAAACTAAATTGGAAGGCTCAAGGAGCCACACATTTGCCGGAAAAGCTGGTTCTGAAAAGAAGATGGGAAAGGGAGCCAGGTGCTTCTGCTTCAGCCACAGGTGGCTGGGCACAAAAAGAGAAAGGTTGGTGTGGGGAACTGGGAGAGAAAGCAACTGGGGAGTGAATGAATGGTGGGGCACAAGTGAATGCTGCCACTTGGGGGGAATAAATGAATGCTCATGTGTGAGCAAATGCTGCCACTTGCTGAGGCTTGCCACCCTGCAAGGCATGGTGCAGGGTAGCCAAAAGTGCATAGATGGAGGGGAGATAGGCGGGTGGGAGGAGTTGCAGTGCCCCTGCAGTTGTAAGTGCAGGCAGACTGCCAAGTTCCCAGATTTTGATCACGTGAATGCAGAGATGCTGCAATGGCCATAACTTTGGGCACGAGTCATAAGTCCATTTTTCAGCACTGTTGTAATTTTGAACAGACACTGAATGTATGGTTGTTAACCGAGGACTACCTGTAATACCATTATAGGACTTCTATATGAGATAAACTCAAAATGTCAGGAAAAGCTAGTCATAGAAATACAGAATACAATGGAATACTTTTTTAAAACTTGAAAAAATGCTTCTGGATGAAGATTACAAATGTATTTATTGCACCACAGAGAATGTTGCCTAGCAGAACTGCAAGATTCTATTAGTGCTGAGGAAGTAGACAGAGTCTATGCCTCCAGGGAAGGGTTGTGTGGTTGGATCCATGCACTGGTAAATGCATCCTTGAGAGACAGGGTGGTTCTGCTGGCTCTTAACAAATCAGTGGCCTGTCCTCTCCTCAAGAAGCCATCACTGTATCCAACAAAGCTGGATAATTTTCACCTTGTTTCCAACCTAATCTTTGTAAGGAAAGTTGCCAAAGTGGTGGTTAGCCTGGAGCTTCAAGGGATGAAATGGATTATCTGGGTGAACTCTTTCACTCTGGGTTAAGGCCAAGACAGAGTAACAAGACATTGATGGAACTTGTTGATGACCTATAGCAAGTTTCTGGACATTCTCAGGGGGTTGGGAGTCAGAGGCACAATGTTGCAGTGGTTCTCCTTGTTCTGAGATCAGTTCCCCTTGGTGTGGGGAGTGGCATAGCTTTATAGGATGCCTCAGGGCTCTATCCTTTCCTCACTCTTGCTTAACATCTACATGAACCTGCTAGATGAGATCATTTGTTGGCACAGGGTAAATGTACTCAATTGTACATTTCCAGCCTAGGCCAACAAAATGACACTGTTAATTTTCTATCCCAATGTCTGGAGACGGTGGAGTCTTAGATGGGGAAGAACAAATTTCATCTTAACCCTAGCAAGGTCGAGGGGCTGTGGATGTGGAGCCCCTCTGATCCCAGAACTTTAAATTTTCCAATGTTGGTTCTGGAGGGATTTGTACTAATTGTTTCTGCCCATTCCACATGCTCTAACAGAATAGGTAATACTTACTCCCACCATATGAAACAGTAGTGAATATTTAATGAGAATAACTAACTTCTCACATTCCCCCCCCCCAAACTATTGTACTTCTGAAAAAAAATCTAAGAATACCTCTGAAAGTATAACTATGACAAGATATATTTTGAGATTATAACTACAATTAAGCAGATATGCAGTAGGGTCAATATTTCACTAGTAAACTAAAAGAATTGGTAACACAATCCTTCAGTTTAATTGAATGAGCAAAGTGCATTACAAAAAAACCCTAATCCTTATTGACATGTGTATTATTGCTCAAGTATTATATCCTTGTATTAGCATATAGTTTGGTAGAAAGTGCTCCCAATGCCAAAGACGATTCTTCCCATTTTTTTGCTGACAACTAACATATGATCATTTATATACTTTGACATTTATATCCATTGACAATGAGGATACTGAAGTGGTAGATAGCTTCTCCCTTTTAGGATCAACCATCAACAGTAAAGGGACAAGCAGTCAAGAAATACACTGCAAATGAGCATTTGTTAGCACTTGCCAAGAAGGCCTTGGAAAAAGATATTCAAATGCTGTGATGTGTCTGTCTACAAATACCAGAATAGTGCAGGCAATAGTATTCCCTGTGACACTATGGAAGTGGAAGTTAGACTTCAAAGAAGTAGGATAGAAAGAGTATTGACACTTTTGAAACTTGATAGTGGAGAAAACTTTTGAAGCATACGAGGACAGACAAAACAAAAAAGTGGATCATTAAACAAATCAACAACCCAGAGTTCTCACTTGAAGCACAAATGACCAAATTTAAACTATCATACTTTGGGCACATTACGTGAAGTCTTGGCTCTCTGGAGAAGGCTCTAGTGCTGGGAAAAGTGGAAGGAAAGAGAAGAGGATGACCAGCAGCACCATTGGAAGACCTGAAGGACTAGGTTATGGATGAATCATCATGAGGAAATTATCTCTTTGGTTGCTGAGAGTTGACACTGATCTGATGGCACATAACCAATTTTTAAAAATCCCTTATCTGTGGAATTGTGATTTATGCTGCATCTTTGAAATGGAACACAAGAAGAGTGTCTTCTTGTGCTTTAGCTTGTTTCCCTTCAACTTGGAGTTGGTGAGGATAGTAGAAATGTGCTGGTTATCTCTACCTCCATGTATTTCATACAGCTGAAGTCTCAACTCCTTGGCAGTCACAAAAATAGGCCAACATTCTTTCTGAATAGGTCCCTCTTATGCAGAACTGGGGGAAACCACAAAGAATTATCTTGGTCTTTGAAGGCATGAAAATGCCAGTCATCCAGGACGTTCAGATACAAGCTTTCCTAATTTGGTGAGTGCCACAAATTAAGAACTAAATGCCTGATAGGTACAAAAATAAGTTTCTGCATCATCTCCCTCCAGAGGGAGAATGCAAAAGCTTGTTTATGGTCTCTATTTACATATAGGGAATGCAGAACAAAATCAAATTATATCCTATTAATGTTTAAGCTGGGAAATGGGTGGTCACTGATACAGCCTTGGAAGAAAAAACTATCTTCATCTCATCCATCAGAACTTGGTTGACTTGCCATGATTTTGACCTCAGCCTGCATATACAGGTAGTCCTCATTTAATGACCATTCATTTAACAATGGTTCAAAGTTACAATGGCCTTGGAAAAAGTGCTTTATGACCTGTACTTGCCCTTACAACTGTCACAAACCATTGCACCACCCCCCGCAGTCATGTGATCACGATTTGCAACCTTTTTTCTGACGATCATAAAGCAAATCACTACAGTTAAGCAAATCATGTGGTCGTTAAATGAATTCTGGCAAAAAACATCCATTGGGGTAGCTGTATTCACTTAACAACCACATGATTTGCTTAACAACTGTGGTGATTTGCTTTACAGCCATCGTAAAAAAGGTTGCAAATGGGATCCAGTCACTTGGTGACTCGCTTAATGACCAACCCACTTAACAACCAATTTTCCAGTCCCTATTGTGATTGTTAAGTGAGGACTACCTGTAAACTCTCTGCATTTACCTGAAATACTGGGTTGAGTAACCATTTAATTTTTTAATTTGACCCAAGTCAATTGAACTCAACCTTTCAGCAATCCTGCTTTTACATTTTTAAAACAGTTTTCAATCAGATTTTCAGAGTTTATATTTCAAAGAAATATATCCCAAGAAGAGTCTTCTCAAAGATAAAGAGCCTAACTATCTCACCCCAAAATAGCTACCATTCTTCTATTTCTATTCATATGCAGATCTGTTAATACAAGAATTGGGATAATAATTTTAAGAAGGCATTTCTGCTGTGATAATAATTTATCCCTTTTGTATTCTATACTCCTCTGGAGCCAGGGTGACAAAGCAAGACAAGTCATACAAGACAAAGACTAATGTAATGTACATTTACATAATGTAAATGTAATCTTACCTGGCTGAGACACCAAAGGCACATGGGAAAGTCTACTTCTGGCTCTTGTTAAAGGTCTACGGGGATAATCTTCATTGTATTCCATTTCTAACCTTGCTTGTTGGGAACTACTGCTCTCATTAGCAGTCCCACAGACTCCCTCATTAGTCCTCTCATTGCTGGCTTCCCCTGAGGAATCACAGTTTGGTAATGTTCTCAGAGAAAATTCTGCTCCTCCCACAGATGGCCCATTTGTACCACAGGCTCCACTGGTAGATGGACATTCACCATCAGAACCTCCATTAGTTCTCTTTTGCTGGCTCTGCGGCACGTAACAGGAACACCTGGAGCATAAAGAATTATCCTCATCATCCCTTTCACTGGAATCTTCATTCCTACAGAGACACTTCCCAGAATCCTCTGCAGCTGTGGAAAGAGACTCATTAGAGCTATCTGCTTTCCTGACATCTTCAAGGCTTTGAGAAGCAGCAGTGGACGAGTTTCCTGGAGGTCCAGTGTCCCCACCACAGCTTGGGTTACAATCTTTGTGTTTATTTCTTTCTGTTGTCACATCACTGGCTGCTTTCATATCTGCTTTAATCTGCTCACTGGTGACTTGGCAGCCCTTTTCACAGCTGCTCTCCTCAGAAAGAAAAAGCTTCACCCGGCTGGCACTGCATCTTTTCCGCAGTGGAGCTTTGCCTTTACCACTCACTGCTGCAATATTGGGGAAAGCAGAAGAGCAATATAAAGTAACACAAAGCCTGTAGCACACACAATTACAGCACACAGTACACATAGGAGTACCTCTTAGGATCTCTAGTGAAAAGCTCAGGATAAAAAGGTAGTCCTCGAATTATGTCCATTTGTTCAGCAACCATACAAAGTTACAATGTTGCTGAATGAATGGTAATTTCAACTAGTCCTTGAGGTTCCAGCTATTGCAGCACCCCTGTGGTCACATGATCAAAATTTGGGCACTTGGCAACCGGCCTGTGTTTACAACCATCACAGTGTCCCAAGATCATGTTCTCCCCTCTCTTGTGCAAATTTCCTCTGCTTCCAGGAGCTGGGTGAGGGCACAGCCCTGGGATGTGCATGGCAAGCACTGCAGGACGGCGGAGCCTTGTCTTCCAAAGGGAGTTTGTTGGGCCCAGCCAGGGAGGAGGCAGTGGGTTGGAGCCAGTGGAGGATGCAGGGCAGCGGTGCAGGCGGAAGAGCCTCCTCTTCTGCTGCTGGCATGAGGAACGATAGTCTGTAGACTCTGGAGTGTGCAGCAGGACAGGCCGGCGAGGTGCAGCACGCTCTGTTGCCAGGTGAGGCAGGCGAAGTGGTGGCAGTTCCATGGATGAAGGTGGCAGCTGCATGGGAGGTGCTGTTTGGGGTGGCAGCGGAACTGGAGAAAATGGAGGGACGAGGGCTTCCCAGAGGCACAGTGCACTCTGCAGCTCACGTTGGAAGCAGTCCTGGAGAACCGGCTAGGGGTGGAGGTGAACCCAGTGCAGACAGAGCCTACCTGCAGGCCCTCAGTTAGCTCAGCCCAGCCTTCCTCCTGCAAAACCTCGCCAAGGGCCAGCAGCTTCCAATGCAAGCTGCAGAGCACATGCTGGGCCTCCAGGAAACTCTTATCCCTCTTCTTCCTCCAGTTCCACCACCACCCCAAAAAGTGCCTCCTGTGCAGCCACCACCTTCACCCAAGGAGCCGCTGCTGCCTCTCCTAACTTGCCCCAAAACAGCAACTGAAGATAGGGCTCCTTCGCCCACATTGCCACTCTGCCCCTTCTGCCATTTTCTTCCTCCTGCTGCCTTCTGCCCAGCCGGGCCTGGCAAGCTCCCTTTGGCAGATAAAGCTCTGCTGCCCTGCCACATGTGTCCCAGGGCCACACCCTTGTCTCGAGCCTGGATCCTGGGCCAGCAGTGGGAGGAACAAGATGGTGAAGGTCAGCTGGGGGTGGCAGGGGTAGGTGACAGAGTGCAGGGAGGCCAAAAGGGCAGAGATGCGTAGTAGATAGGCAGGTAGGGGGAGTTGAAGCCGAGGCAGTTCATGCAGGGCAGGAGATGTATGAGGTCCTTGCTTAACTACCACAACCTGGACTGCCAGAACTACCATCGCTAAGCGACACAGTTATGTTAAGTTTTGCTTATCGACCACTTCATTTAGCAACACAAATTCTGGTCCCATTAAGGGTCTTAACCTGAGGGCTACGTGTATGTCTAAATAAATATTACTGCGCACAGCCAAACAGCTGAGATGTCTCAGTAATCAGTTTAGATATTTTTTTTCTTATAAAGAACATGAATTTAAATTAGAGGTTCTTAATTTTTTTTGTGCCATGGACCCCTTGGAGAATTTGGTGAAACCTACAGACCCTTCTCAGAAAAATATATTTAAATGTATAAAATAAAATACATGCAGATTGTATTACAAAGGAAACCAATTATGCTCAAATACAGTTATCAAAACATTTTTTAAAAAATTGAAATAATTTTAGATTGTGAGATTTACTGAAATTAACAAACGGTTTTTGGAATCTAAAGGCCATAAATTCTCTGTTGGAAAGACTAGATTTCAATTAGAGGTTAGAGAAAGTAAAGCTGTAATTTTTTCCCCCATCCAAGTTCACAGACCCCTGGAAATCCATCCACAGATCCTAAGGGGTCCACAGACCCCAGATTAAGAACTCTTGATTTTAAAAGAATTTTAATTTTCTCTTAATTTTCAAACTTCCTGAAATTAGTAGAGTATTAATAGAATCTCTATCCCCTCACCCCCGATATACCCACCTAAAGTTAAATGTTAAGGCATTTGTAAAATTACTAAATATTAATTGTGAGGGTTTGAAATCCCCAGAAACACCTAAAATTACCAATTCCATCATCCTTTTCTATTGCTATTATAGTTTACACAACAAAAATACAAAGTGCACTGTATGTGTTATTTCACAAAAAAAGTGAAGCAAACAAAGATACTTGATATTAAAATAATTGGAATTCTGCAAGGAATCATTTATGTCACATTATCATTCTGAAACAAATTTGAACATATCTAGCATTTTACAAATCTCAACAAAGCTACTGGCTTAGTTCAGATGATTGCAAGTGAGCCTGTATAAACCTCAGAAACACACACGTCCTTCATCTCCTTAAAACATAAGCACGTCTTGCAGCTCCAGGAAAAGACACAGCTTTTTTAAGGAGTTGCAGACAAGTATGATCTGTATGTCCCTGCTCACTGTATCTCACCTTTTCGTCTTCGAATCTGGATTGTTGCACAATCCTAGTAAACTAAATGTGATCTGATAACAGAATTACAACTGCCATTGTTTCAAAGAAGTTTCAATCTGACACTGTTTCCATGATCCTGCCGCTGCAGTGGAAGCCTCCCAGCAGCAGCTGCATGATCCAAGAAAAGGTGTGGCAGTTTTAACACATTTCCAACTGATTCTATGTTCACATTTGCAGTGTTCCAAAGCTCCTCTTCTCAACAAAATTTGAAGCACTGTACAGACCTACTTTATAACACAGACGCCATTTTTACTAGATACCCAAGAAAATGAAAACTCTCACCTAAGGGCTCCTGGATTTCCACTGGATCTCTGACTCTTTCCTCTCCATCTGAGTAACTTTGTGCAATGCTGTTTGTGATACAAGATCTTGAGCTTGCCATGTTTTCATCTTCATCTTCACTGTCTGAATCATGGACAGTAATAGGTGCTAGGTTTACATTAGGCTGAAGACCACTAGGCCCTGAAAATGACAAGAAAGTCAACAATACATTATTCATCTTCCTTAGGTCATGACTCACCTTGACTGAGCTTGTAATTCCACCGGATATTAAACATGTGTCCAAACTAGCTGGGATTTGTATTATGGTTTAGAATACCTACCCAGAGGAGTTTCTGCAGTCCATATCTCTCTGTTTTTCTCTTCTTCAAGCTCCCCTCAAACAACACAGAGAGGAATAAAAAACAAAACAAAACACAGTGTGTACTCTGTTTTGCACCAATTTGGAATGCTTCACAACCCTCCTTTAGACATTCAACTGAGCATATAGAGAGCTCAAAGAAAAGCAGACTCGCCACTGCTTCCAACCATTCAGATGGGAGGTCTGAAGGGAGCTATGTGCACATTCACATGAATGCAAATGCAACTGATGGTGTGATCGGGGTCCTTGCTTTCTTCAGGCCCTGACTGATATTCAGAGCTGCACATACAAGGGTAGTAATCCTTCAGACCTCCCACATGGAGGACAAAGAAAGGTGGCACTGCATACATGACTCCAGACTCTATCTAGTCTGAGTCTTTCACATGTTTAGGCAAATTAGATTTTGTGTTTTGATGATATGTTCTCCAAACCTTCTACTAGCTCCTTCTTGTCCAATCAATTTGCACCACACAATATAATGCAAATTGACTAATCCATTTGTATATTTGTAAAATGTTGAAAATGTAATGTTTTGCATAAGTATAGCAAAAGAAAAAGAAGAAAAAACCAGAAAAATTAAAGCTACAAGATGTTGCAGTGACCACTAGAGATGACTAAAAGACTCTTCAATGGTCAGAAGTAATCTTCTCTTGGCCAGGGAACTACACTTGTAAGGTCCCTCTGCACAACACAAACTCTCAAGGAAAGAGGTGCATAATCATCTCTCAGTTGAACAGCAAACTAGCAAGTAAAAAGTGTTTTGGCAGTCAGAACAGGGCAAGTGTGGTATTCCAGGTAACACAATGCAAGCTTGAAATCCAAAGTTCAGATCTTGCTGGAGCTATTAATTCATTATGTGTTTTAGCAATCAGTCTCAACCTCCACATGTGCAATACAGGACAATCTATCTATGTGGTCTTTGGGAGTTGAAAATGACTTGATGGCACATAATCAATCAATCAATCAATCAATCAATCAATCAATGGCCTATTTACAAAAGTAATCTAAATGTTACTGAGGTTCTGTACAGAAAATTGATTTAATATTTGAAATCAATAATATCAATATTAAGTGTTTAATTTCAAGCTATACCATTTTAAATTGTACAATTCATTCTAATAAAAACACTATCTTGGTGAACTTTAAGAAGCAATAAACGTATTTGCATGCAGCCAGTGAAACAAGTTAATAAGAAAAGGATGCTGACAAGAAAATTACCTGCTTGTTCTTCATCAATTTCCATGGGAAGAAGTGCTTGATTAGTTGCAATTGCTTCACTGTGGCTCTCTACCAAAGCCACTCCGTCTTCCTGTGCCATCTCCTCCATATCATTCAGTGCTGCGAAAAGAGATAATGATCCAGATAAAGACAAGAACATCTCTGTCCATGAGAAAGTAGATGCTATTCGCATATAACTGTACTATGATTCTAGGAAACCTTCCAAGGGGAACAGCATCACTCTTGGTCCAGAAAAACTTTAAAAGATAATTTATGATTCACTTTTAAATTTTAAATTTTGATGTAGGCTTTCCATGTTGTGCAAGAGAATCTGAGGGAGAAAATGTGGCTTTCAAACTAAAAGATAAGAATGCTTACAATGAACTCTTCTCCCCCCAGTAATTCTAAAAGTCTTACAGTAGTCTAAATGCAATATTAAATTATCTTACACCTACTAAGCAAAAATAAAATGTTTGTATTAAGTTTTATTTCAGTGGTTTTATTTTATCTGTGAAAAATAAGAAAAATCATTGATACAACATAAAAGGGATAGTTTTACAACATTTTGTGTGATGAAGCAAATTAATATGTTCTTCAATATTTAAGAGACGTAATAGGGAATGTTAATAGCCATTAGTGTGTATGATTATGAGCCATCAAGTCAATATCGAGCCTCAGTAATCCCATTGCTGTTGCAACCGAGTCCATCCATCTTGCCTCTGGTTGTCCTCTTCTTCTGTTTCCTTACACTATCCCCAATATTACAGACTTCTCAAGAAATCTAGGTCATATCCTAGATATGATAATTTGAGCCTGATCATTTGTACCTTGAATGAGGACTCTGGGCTGATTTTGTCTATAATCTACTTGTTTTCTTGGCTATCTGTGATATTCTTGGAATCTTCTCCAACATCAAAGTTTAAAACCATCATCACTCTTTCTATTCTCCTTCTTCAAAGTCCAACTTTTGATTCTGGAGAGTGTCACACAGAAAACCATTGCCTGCACTAGTTTGATCTCTTTAAGTATAGACCCATCATGAAAACTGAGTATCTTTTTGCAGGCCTTCACTGCTACCCTACGAAGGGCTAGTCTGTGGTGTATTTCTTAACTGCTTGTTCCTTTACTGTTGGAGTCAATCCTAAAAGGCAGAAGCTAACTACTGTTTCAGTATCTTTATTCTTAATTCTGAAACTGGTTGCTGTGCCTCATGTCATTAGTCTGATCTTTATATTTAACCTTAATTCCATTTTTTTTCAATATGCTCCTTCACTTTCGTTACCAGAGCTTCCAGATCATTTGCATTTTCAAGTATCAAAATAATGTCATTAGCAAACCACAGGTTGTTGTGGTATGTTTCTTCCTCCAATTTGAAAACCACACTCATTAAAATCTAGCCTTGATTCAGCATATAGGTTATTTATTTAAGAGAGTATATGGCCTTGTCTTACTCTTTTCGTTGATTCAGAGCCAGTCTGTCTTGCCATTTTCTGTTTGGACTGTGGATTTCTATCCTGTGTATAGGTTTCTCATGAGGACAATGAGATGTCCTGGAATTTCAGTTTTCCTAAGGACATGCCAACATGCTTGACATGACTGACACAATCAAAGACCTTTCTATTATCAATGAAACACATAATGACTGCTTTTTAGTATTCTTTGGCTTATCCAGCATGCATCAGCAATAATGCCTCATGTTCCTTGGCACTTTCTAAAACTATCTTGAACGTCTGACATCTCCCTTTCCATGATCATAAGCATTGTTTTGCTAGCATGTGAAAGTAAAGGTATTGCACAATAGTTTGCACACCCTGTTGGTCTCCTTTATTTGGTATTGGTATGCAGACTGACCTCTTTCAATTTGTAGGCCACTGTGTCATTCTCCAGTTTTATGGCATAGCTTAGTTAGAACCTTTACTAGTGCTTCTTCTGGTGCTTATCATATTTCTGTAGATATTCCACCAATTCCTGTAGCCTTCCAACTTGGTAATAACTGGAGTGCTGATCTAACCATCTTCTAATGCTAGAGGTTCTTGTAAGTAAGGAATATCTTCGAAGGTATCTTGGATGTTGACAATTCTACTGTACAGAATTGCAGTATACTCCTATTTTCTTTGAATTGGTTACTATGTGTTCATTGGCATCCTTCAGCATACCAACAATTCAAAACTGGAACCTCCTTCTGAGTTTGGAGATGTTTTCTCCTTATTTTTCTCTTTGTTTCTATCTTAAATCACTGAATAGATGTCATAATATGGAAAGGAGAGCCAGTGTAGTGCAGTGGTTAAGGCACCAGGCTCGAAAGCAGGAAACTGTGAGCATGAAGCCAGCAGGGTGATCTTGGGCCAGTCACTTTCTCTCAGCCCTAGGAAAGGCAATGGCAAACCACTTCCAAAAATCTTGCCAAGAAAACTGTAGGGATGGCAATCACCAGGAATTAACACTGACTGAAAGTGTGCAGGCACACACACACAAAGAACAAATACTGAAAGACTGCAAAGCCAACGCTTCAGCAGTAGTTCAGAATAGCAGATGACAACAGATGCCAACTAATTGTAAGGTGTCTAAATGGTGGCTCATTATAGCTCAGGCAAGCACACTTGTATCACAAAGGAGAAAGAAACTGTATATAGGACTCTTTAGGATTTAGATACACAACACACATAAGAAAAAACACATATATAGTACAGGTTTAGTATAGCATAAAGAATAGGTTTAGTGATAAGAATTAAGTTAAGAGTGAAGAAAAAGTTTGTTAATGCTCTTCTTCCCTGGAAGGGGAGGACAATACTATTCTCCTTGTTGGTGGTCTGTACCATTTCCCAAAAGAGCCTCCTCATATATATACACACAATCACATTATTAGTCAGTTATTAAAAATTATTCAGTAAAACTTACCATCTGCTGCATTCTGCTGTTCTTCAATCTGTTCCTCCTGTCGCAACTCATTCTCCTCATTTTGATCATTTGGTTGCTGGTGGTTGTTATGGTGTATATTGGCATTATTGTTCTGGTGATTATTATTGTTGTCATTTTCATTGTTGGAGTTCTGGTTGCTCACCAAAGCAGAGGAAACTCCAATTCCTGTACCTGCACTCAGACCTACACGAGCACAACCCTGAAATACATTAAAGGATTACTAAAGGCAACTCACAAGAGTTTCCAGAACAGTATTAATCAAAGATCACAAGATTACAGGAAATTGTGATATCTGAACACCAAATTAGTGTTTCCTATCCTTCATGGATATTTCAGTGCTCTTCTCCAGAGAAGACCGAACACTTCCCAAATATCATGGCAGTAAGCACTTCTTGATAACAGGCTGTATAAACACTGATGGCTTTAATCCTATAAATACTGCTATTTTATCTATTGGTTTAATATGAGGATAAATAATATTTTTCGGTATTAGGAAAAGGGCCATTAACTACCATGTTAGGATAAGGAAATATATCTTTTACAGAATATTTTATACACAGAGACCAAAAATGGTAGGAACCTTTATGAACAAATGGCTCTGAGGCTAGTTGATAGGAAAGGCCATAATTACTAGGAACTGAGCCCCATTAATATAGCAGCATTTCTTTCTGAATTAACATGCACCAGACTGCAAAACCAAGGAATGCCACTTGAAAACAGGCCCAGCCCCAACCTTCCCCTGCATCTTTCCATTATTTCCCTTGCATTCTATTTTCTCTTCCTCTCTATTCTTTGGGCTGTCATCTCTATTCCCATTTTCCCTACTGCCATTCAGTTATGGTAGCAGATAGTTGTTATGCTGGCTATCACTCATCTCTCTACAGCCACATTTATTCTTGGCCCTTTGATTTCTTAATTTCTTAAGTAGGGCAACATCTGCTTCATTTTCTATCTATGTATTGGTTGCTAGGCAAACAAAAACATCTGAGATAAGGCTGCAAATTGGAATAGCAGAGATAATATGGAAGCAGAGATTTTTCCTTTGACTCTTTAAACAGGAGACAGCAATGCTGTGCCTCCAGTTCTGAGGAATGAAAGGGCATGAAAAGGAGTTCATTAGTTCTTCTCTACTTTGATCTCACCCATTTCAATCTGTTATGCAAAGGAGGACAGACACAATGCCAAAAATATGAGAGATTATTACACAAGGTATACAGGTGGTTCATTCTGTGCTTCCAGTATTGTTCACTCTTGATAAAATGCCATCTCAAGAAAATATAAGTTCCCTTAGTATAACCTCCAACTTCTTAAGAATGGGGAAATAGAAATACAAAGAACAGCAAAGCTCCTTGTAAAAATTATAACAACAAATATTCTTTCAAACATATATTATTTTTATAATCAGCCTCTTGCCTAAGATTACTATTGTAACTTGCAATACCGAATTAGCTTTCAATACTTGTTTTATCATTATGCAAAATTAATCTGACTTGGAGATGTGGGTGTGCACACAAGTCCTGTTCCCAGATTCCCACCATCCTTGCTACTTTAAACACTTTCTTTCAAATGAACACATATAGTGCATGAAAATCTACCAAAAAGGTTCAGAACCCAGGAAAATGAAGGTGAAGCTTATGGGAATGCTTATATTTCCAACTCAGGTTAACCCTTTGTGTGAGCAGGTGATTGCTTGCATAGGACTTTTAATTCTGTACATAAACCATATGTAATTTATCTGTTTAAAGGCACTTGGTAGAAGCTTAACATAGTAGGTTTTAGTACACATTTCAAAACACACAATTATTTTTTATACTCACTTTGGGTGGTTCCCGAAACATCTGGTCCAGAGAGATAAACTCCAGGCTTGGCAGTAATTCAATAAACTGACTAAAAGAGTCTAGTTTTATTGCATGGCATCTCACCAGGGTGAGATCAAAAAGCCGAGTCCATCTTGAATGATCTACAGAAAAAGCAAATGGGCTTATCATAGTATTTCTTCTTAAATGTACCTTCCAAGTTTGAATAAATAATTACTCTTCTTCTACCATGTCAATTTGAGTTTTCTTCTTCACTGCCACCATTCCAAAGTGGATTCCCAGTTATTCTAATGCATCTGCTTTGCTGAAAGCCACCATTTTCACAGGTAGCGAGTCACACAGAATAAAAAATACTAGTAAGACTAAAAAAAACCTTTCTAAAATACATTCATTTTGTTACGATACAGATGAAACAGAGAAGAATACCAAATCAATCATCTTGGAAACTAATACTAATTTATTTTTATTTCAGAAGCCGTGAGTGGGAACACTGAAAAATGAAGATTTTTTGTGACTGACCACAAAGATTATAAAATCTACAGGTTTCAGTGGAAGAATTCCTTCCATTAGCACAGTTTTCATCTCATGAAAACAAATTTTCTCTACTCATGGATTGACTAATACCACCCACTGAACCATCAGTGGGTATCCTTTTGATGTCCAAGGAATATATTTAACAGCCTGCTAGCTTTGTAGGCAGGGGTTCATAGTAAAGGCAGGTTTATATAGAACTTTCATACAATGATTTCACATGCATTATTTAAACACACTTTATGTGAGACTACTCTGGAGTGGTTTAGAACCTAGAACTAGAATTTAGGAGCTAAATTGCTCAACACAGCTCCTCATGGTTTATATATGATGCTTATGCTAAAAACTGCACTGACTACCAGTTAGTTACTAAGCCATATTCATTAAGCTATTATCAGTTTATAATGCCCTAAACAGTCTGAAACTAGGTTATCTGAGGAACTGCCTCTTTCAATATTTCCACCTAGGTTTACATGGTCTTTTCATTCTATGGAAGATGCCTTCCTTATGATTACAATAGTGCTATGGGCAGCTGAAGATAATTTAGTGTAGAAGAGGGAATTTTTTGCTATGGAATCCACTATGTAGAATTACTTCATCACTGAAATGAGGGCTCTCCGCAGAAATTTTACAAATTGTTTGGATATTTATTTCAAAATATTTTTGCACCATCACAATCACTACAGAATCTGAGCAGTACACAGCTGAATGAATGAATGAATGAATGAATGAATGAATGAATGAATGAATGAATGAAACAACCCTAGTCCTCATAAAAATAATTAGATGAATGCTCATTACAACCATTATGGGGCAAGGTTCCATTGAAAAATAATGGTTTATTTGCTCAACCCCTAATAGTTGTGATTTCATGGTTTTAATTTCTGACTAATTTATCATATTGCATTGTTCTATTTTTGATACTTTTATTGTAAGCCATTTTGGGGTTCACAAAAAAGAACAAGAGGTATATAATAACAGTATTAATGATGCTCCAGTATTACTCACCACTCAGCATGAAACAGAATAGTAATACTTTCTTTCAGCAACATATGAATCAGGATAAAATGACATTCTTAGATCAGCCACATAGGCTGACCTAATAGAAGCATACAGACATCAAAGGTGTCATATACACAACAGAAACAATCCCTAAGAATAATCAATTTATTTAAGGAGGGGATGTATTCAACTTACTGAAGGACTTTACCAGATGTCAGTTTGTGAGTACAATACCTGTGATCCAGCTACTTGGATTATGTAGATGAGGGCAGTTGTATATGACAAGATATTTAATTGAAGAGAAGACTTCATTTACTGCTTTCATTCCTATGTCTGTGATAATGCCTGGATTTTCAACCACATCAGCTAATCCATACTTCACTAGATCTGCGTTGATCATTTTACCTAGACACCGAGAGAAAAAAAAGGAACATGATATTTCCATGAATCTCTACAGCTATGCAGTCTGATTATTGGCCACAGCTATATTAACTATTCGCCTCTTGGTCTTAGAAAACAAAAATAGCAAAATAAAGGAAAAAATGTTTTCTAATAGTCACAAATCTAGGCATTGATCTATAAGAGCTAACTTAACAAACTATGCTGAGGTTAAATTCTACCCAGCTCCTCCTTGATATCCCAGTTTTATAAGAAGCTCAACACAAATCAAGTTTGGCATAATTAGTTATGCTCTTAATTTTAAAGAATATGACAGGAACACTGGGCTGCAGAGTTGGAGATATACAAAACCAGTAAGATGAAGCACCAATCTCCCATTACAACTATAAATATGGAGTCTACATGAAGTTTTTAAAATCTTTAGCAAATTTGTCATTCTCTTACTTTCTTGGCAGACACACAGGAACAGAGCTAGGCATGAAACTCTACCACAGACCTGCACAATGTACCATCAGTGGGCCACATAAGGCCTGCCAAGCACCTGTGTGTGGCTCACCAGCATTTTTTGAAAAATCCATTGCCACCAAATGTGGCTGCCACCAGGAAGGAATCACAACTGCTGCCTAGGTTTTCACATCCACTTCTACTCCAAAAGACACATTAGTGAGTGCCTCCAGGCTTCATGAATACTGTCAGCTACACTGCTGCCATTGTGCTGCTAGCTGCCAAAGAGCTGATTGGCTCACCAGCTATTCCTTTGGGACCCATGATTATCTTTATGGTATCAATCTGGTCCTTTCCCCTCTACAAGTTGTGCAGGCCTGCTCTACCATATTGCTATTGCTAGGAAAACACCGATATGCTTGATTTACTCTTCTTCAGGAAGGGAATATGTCCAATGTTTATTTGCAATAAGGCCCATGTACATTATCCAATTCTATGGTCTCTTCAGACCAAGGTTTAATTCCCACAGGGAAACTCCCAATGACGTAAAGAGTTTTCACAGCTAATCTCAAGAAATGTGATGCTGTCCAGGCCATGTGTACATGCTATTATAATCAAGACTCCTTCTATAAGTCCCAAGCAAGTTTGAGGATCAGCCAGGACGTAAGTGTTGCCTGTAGATTACACAAGAATGTATCATAACATTTGTACTCCCTTTAAGCAAATAAGTAAATAAAATCCACCCAAACTGCTGTTCTACCCAAACTGCTGATAACCAAAAGAAAAATTAGAGGATTTCATACACTGTAACAAAAACTCATCAACATATCCAAGATGTAGTGTTTCAAACTGAGGAAATTCCAATTCTGCCATTTTTAGTGCAGAGAATACTCCATCTTTGGTTAGGGAAGGCTGGATTCGTACTTCATGCAACCTGAAAAAATAAGAACCAAAGTAGGAAGTAAATGTTAGTGTGAGTTCCTAATATAACACATTAATATTAGAACCATGGTTCAAATCAAAGCAACAATAGAGCACTTTTATTACATCAGAAGAAAGTGTAACAGATAAATGCACATTTATTTACGAGTAAATGCTTGCTAATTTCATATATTTATAAATTGCACAACGGTATTATTTCTTGGAAACATCTATTATGATATTTACCATATGAATTAGGTTAAATACAAAACAGGACATGGGAAAACAGCAATGCACAGAATTTAAGAAAGCAGAAACAAAACTGTATGTGTGAATATGTAGACGTAGTGGTGATTTATTGACAGACTAAAAGGACCACTGCCAGACAACAATTACCTTCGAGCAGCAGTTATGATGAGGTAGCCAAGGTCAACTTCCAAAGCATTCTTGCAAGCTCCGAGAACTATAGTGTGCAAATTTCTGAAGCCCCCTGAAAATCAAGAGAATAATCAAGAAAACAATAATTCCCACTATTCAGGAGCAATATTCACAGAAGTGATGTTGGAAGCAAAATTGGAAACCCAAACCTTTTTATTTCTATTTCAGCATAGTTTATGACTGCTATTACTTAACAGGTAAGAATCTCAGTATTGGAAAAGATGTGGCTTTGGAATATATGAAGCACTTGGGATTATTCCTGAAAAACTAAGTTGAACAGTCAAATGTTGACAAGTATATATTTTTTTCCCAGCATGTCAAGCAATCACAGCATACATACTGTACTTCACTACAATCTCTGCATATCATTCTGAAACTTCTTTTCTAATATGTTAACTTAACCAAACATTCTTAAAGTTTTGGTTCATACTCCAGGAGCATGGGGTTGGTCCAAAGCCAAATCATACCCCTAAACCAGTGTTTCTTAACCTTGGCAACCTTAAGATGTCTGGACTTTAACTCCCAGAATTCTGGGAGTTGCAAGTCCACACATCTTAAAGTTGCCAAGATTGAGAAACACTGCCCTAGACTAAGGAGGATAAAGAACATGCAGTACTGAGGAAAGCTTTGATGGGAGGACTTATTTCTACAGATCTCCCATATCCTCCTCAATCCCTACATCTGCAGTGTTCTCCAACAACATGTTGCCTTTATTGTCAGCCAAGTTTCTCCATTTCAATAGTTAGCAGCAATTTCAGGAACTTCAGCATAATTGGAACCCCACACAAACATATGTTCTCCAAGGGAACATTTTATCTTTCACACAGCCCAAGGGAAAGTATTAACTCTAAAAGAGCTTTTTAAAAAAATATATTCTGTATTATTCAAATGTACCTAGTGTCCTCTTTTTACATTAAAAGCAACTTGTATCTTTGAACATACTAGCAATATTCACTTCTATAAAGGAGAAGATGAAGAAATAATGGGAAAAAGTAAAAGTTGTTCTCAGTTCCAAAGAATTTACAGACCAGATCTCCAGCTGTCTTCTACAACATGCTGGATAAGACCTCCAAGAAAAGGAACTCGAACCAATTCTAGATGTTCCAAATTTCGAGCAGAAGCCAAGCCAGTGACCAGGGGAACATACTTCAATGAGTTTGTGGGTCCTACAGAAGAAAGAAAAATTATAATTCACATTCAAAGGCAGCTAAATAGAAGCACAGAAATTTTAGGATGTACCATAACACTTTCTATCCTAGATAAGATTTCAAGCATTCGTATTCATGTGACAAAACTGTTACTTTCTCAGTAAAGAATGTAAATGCAGAAAATGTATATATACAAAGATATTTTGCCTACATCTCTACATTCCTGTAATTCTGCAGAGCCATGATAGAGAATGATTGCTAACATATAGGAGAAAATTCCCCATTTACCTCCAAAGGACATAAAGATTTAATTAATTTTATCAGCCTTGCATCATACAGGAAAAGTCAGCTGATAACAACTTGTCAGAAAAAGTTTATTTCAATTTTCATACTGTAAACAGGGAACAGCAATTTTAAGAAGTGAATCAGTATTAGTCAGACTTGGAGCCCAGACTGACCCTGACATTACAGCACTATGGACAATAATCTTCCACTTCCTTCCAAATGCTTGAAAGGTTTAGGAAGTTGTACCATAACACTTTCTGTCCTAGATAATGTTTCATGCAGTAAAACTATCCTCTGCTCTTTTACCTGCACAATTTCTCATGACAAAAGTGCGTAAGCTGATGCAAAGGAAATCCTTAAAAGGCTGTGGTTTGGTGAGCCTCACCCACTTTAGGTACAGATGCCTCAGCATTGGAATACAAGGAATGTCAGGGACATTAACTCCTAAAAAAAAAAAAAATACACAAAGCAGCAAGTTGAAGTTAAAACCAGACATTCCAGAGACAAACACTGTGAATACAAATGGCTTGATTTATCAGACTAATACTAATCCAGTGATACGATGTTGAAATTGAGCATGTATTTTACAATGTTGAAAGTGAGAATGTATTTGTTTCATCTACTAACATGAACAGTGACCATCCTACTATTCAGCAACAGCAAGTTTGTATATAATATGTTCTGATTTCATAGCTCTTCAAAAAGCTTAATTGCTTCGATATCACAAATACATCGTAACAGTTCTTACCTACTAAGTGCAAAGTCTGAATTTTAGCTCCTATTGTTATCTTCAGTTTATTTTCAGGTGGAATTGGGAAGGCACCATTACGATTACGAAACTTCCCTAGGATGTGAACTTGGGGCATGTATGTCCAAATGGCTTCTACTAGTTCTAAATGGGAAGTCTCAACACCCTAAGTAGTAGAGAAAAAAATCCAGAATACACAGTCAAGCATCATCATAGGCAAAACAATATGTATCTTAATTAAGTACTAGTATTTCATGAACGCTATTGCCAACTTATAATTCTGTATTAGTATTCATTTAGCCAATTTCACTGGCAATTATTAGTTGTACTCCAAGTATAGAATATGCAGTAAACATAGCAGATCTAAATGTCTTTGCTAAGATTTATAGCTGGCCTTTCTATAAATCCAGACTTCTAAGAAACCAGCAACAGTATTGCAACCACTAAGATTATCATAATTTCAGAATATAAATTCACTGATACAAATCCATAAAACAATTCTTCCATCAGATTGTTATATGAAACCATAAACAACTGGTCTAGTCCAAAAGATCAAATAAATATTTCAACTACCTTTTTTTAATCTATGGATTAGGGCTCTAGTAACCCTATCAGCATTTAAAAAGTTACATGAAATAAATCACACTATAGGAAGCAGAGTATGACAAACACTCAGATCCTGCATAATATAGAAAAGTGGAACTTAAATGGTTAGGAAGTGTTTAAACTCATTGTTATGAATGAATTTAGACACATACAAATTCGTAGCTAGTATTGCTGATGTTCAAAATGCAAAAGTACTGAAAATAATTTCTAGTTGTCAGAGGCAGAATGGGTATATGATATGATTTCCTCTCTAAATATATAGTACTGTGCAAAAGTTTTAGGCAAGTGTGAAAAAATGCTGTAAAATAAGAATGCTTTCAAAAATATATATTGTATTTGTTTATCAATTTACAAAATGCAAAGTGAACAAACAGAAGAGAAATCTAAATCAAATCAAT